GAATGTATGCAATGTGTTAATTATTGAAACTGTCCTACCAATTTGGTTTGAAACTGTCTCATTGCTATTTGTTTCTCAATAAAATTATGGAAAAAAAGAAAACAAAACAAAACAAAAAAACGGTGTCAATATGAGAGCAAGAACAGACACCCAGCACAAGGAACTGGTGCAGTGCAGTTCCGCTTCCTGCAGGTAGTGGCCCAGCCCAGTGACTCTACAAGTTCATAACCACCAACCAGCCCCAAATGCCCGGGTCTGGACATGTTTCTGTTGCCCACGGCCTCACTGTGCCATGCTGTCTGCCAGAACAGAACTGGCCCCTGCATCAGAGCACAGCAACCATGAGTGCCCCCTTGCCTGAGGTGTGTCCTCACAGCAGCTTCACATCTGTCTCTGAAGTCCAAGGGCAAGCATCTTACCTTTGACCTCAATGCCTAGCAGAGCAACCACAAAGCCAGTACTTAGAAAGCACATCAAGAGCCCTCATTCCAGGTTAAATCATATCCAGCTATGAGCAGCTAAGGTCTCAAAAGAAATACATGGGTCAGACCAAAGACAGAGGGGCCAAGTCAAAGCCACTGGGGCCCAAGGAGCCTGGGATTAGATGTATAGGACAGGCAGGCCCTGGGTCCAGGGTGACCAGCACCCTCCTGCTGCTTGCCATGTCCACAGCCTCTTGGAGATTGACCCATGGAACACATTTCACCAACTCATCCCATACATACTTGGCGAACTTCACAGTGGTTGCGTTTCGAGGCACGAACCCAGTGTGGAATTGAATCTGGAACATCTTCATGGATGCCATCTGCAAGAGAGCAGGCCTGGCTGAAGAGGGGGCTGGGGCTACAGAGAAACCCACCCAAGAGCACAACCCCTGGACCCAGGTCTTATGACCTCTTCTGTGCACCATGCAAGGCCCAAGGACATAGGAGCACCAGGTGCAAGGGTGCAAGGCGCGGGAGAGAAGCAGTGTCTCAGCGTCGGGGGCATGCCCCGCAGACCTCCATGGTACTACACCAGGGAGCTTCTGAGTCTCTCAGGATACAGTCCCCCCTGCTAGTACTGTGAGGAGTGGTAGAGACTGGCCCAGGGGACAGCTACAGCTCCTCCACAGTCTGCCTGACCATGATCTCTGACAGCCAGGGAACTGGTGGCATTCTCTGTTGAGCTGGCCTCACCTTGGCCTGTAGCCGCCCACCTAGGGTGGACCTGGCGTGGTAAATGACAATGAGCACATCGCCTTGAACTGTGTTCCCCAAGGGGATGACTGCCTTGCCATCCTCGATCTTAAACTCCCTAGAAAGAAATGAGAAATGGTCCATGAGCACAAGCAAGAAACCCAAGATCTGGAGCCTTAAAGTACTCACACCCCAGGTTTCTCTCAGTATCTATTCAGGACAGGGGACCCCATCCTACCCAAGGCCCTACTTCTTGGGACTGGGGAGGTAACATGGCTTCCTGTCCCCACAGGACTCGCAGGTGTGCCAAGGGCACAGCGGGATGCCTGCACATGCACCTACTTCATCCTGTCGTACTCCTGGGAGGTGGTGGTCACGCGCTCATCCCCCACGTAGACTTCACAGAAAGGTCTACAGCCATTCCTCTGCTTGCTGAACAGTGGCACAGGGGTCATGACCACAGCCTTCACCAGCATTGGCTTGCTGTGGGGCGTGATGGGCTCCTCCGCTACCATGTCACACACGTACTCGATGTACCTGGGGGCAGACAGGCGCCCAGCAATGTGTCCCCGAGGGCAAAACACACACTGGATCTTTTCAACATACTTAATGCTAAATATTACCCTTGAAGCAACATTTTAGTGGCCTCTTACAAATTCAATGCTGTAATTTCCATTCAGTTCAAAATTGTTTTAAATTCCCCTTGAGGGCCGGCCAAATAGCTCAGCGGATTAAAGCGCCTGCAAGCAGGTGCAGGGACCAGGGGTTCAATCCCCAGGCCTGCCAAGTCAGCCCTGCCCCCAGGGTGCGCTGAGACAGCAATTGAGACTGGGTGTGGTGGTGCTCGCCTGTAATCCCAGCTCTTGGGAGGCTGTAAACAGGCGGATCACTACAAGTCTGATCTAGTAATGAGATCCTGAACACCCTGTAGACCCTTCCCTAAGAAATAAAAAATAAATAAAAATTCCCCTTGAGACTTCCTCTTTGACTCACAAATTACTGAGGTGTTTAATTCTAAAATATTTAGACATTTTCCTAGACATGTCTGCCTGTTACTAAGTTCTAGTTTTACTCCCTGTATGATTCGCGGGGAGTAAAACTAGAACTTAGTAACAGGCAGACATGTCTAGGAAAATGTCTAAATATTTAAGCTTGTTGAGATTTGAGTAATGGTTCAAAATTCTCTTATTGCGCACTTAAATGTGCATGCTTCTGTCCGAATCCCCCCACAATGTGAGGTAGGGCACTGACCGCCTACTTCCTCTACGGATCGCAAGAGGAATGCTGAAGTCTACGCTACCGCACTACTGTACATTTTGCATCCCTTTAGTGACCCAGCTTCTCTGACTTCCCTTCAGGAGGTTTCTGGGGGAGCCCTGTGCCTGTCTTGTGCTGTGGGGGTTCCTTCTGTTGGGGTCCTTACATAAGGAGCAGCCATAGAGCAACATACATCACCTTCCGCTGTGAGACAGGAGACTCCGGCAGCTCTGACAATTTGAGCTAGCCCAGCTGGCAGTCAGCACAAAGCCAGAACAAGAGGTTCTTCCTCTAGATGCAAAGGAACACTGCTCCTGCTGTATGGGCCCAGACAAGAGCCCAGCAACAGAGGCTTCCCAGGAGCCAGGGCTCAAGTTTCCTGAGGACCTGAGGGCAGTGGCCCCAGTCTGTATGACCTGGGCAGGACCAGCACTGGCCTCATGTGGTCTGCCTGCCGTCACTGCCACCTCCACCATGCTGTCCAAACCTCCTTTTGTGGACACTGCACTGTTAGCCCAGCCCCACCAGTTTCCTTTGCAACTCTCACTCAGCCTGGCTACAGCCCTGTCAGTGCCAGCCATGTGTTCCCTTTCTCCTCAGTTTCCTTTTCTTCTGATCTTTTACCTTCTTGAGTATTTCTACGGCTTCAGTTTTTTCTTTGGTTGACATAATATTTATGATAACATGTTCACCAGCTGCAGAGGGCTTCAGACAAGCTGTAATCCAAATCTCTGCCCTGTAGCAGCCCCTGCCCCACAAGGCTGCATTCAGTGGCAATGATCTGCAACAGGACAAGTGAGGGTTCAATCCCACTACGTGTCCTGTGCTTCCTGGGTGTTAGTTATAAACTCAGGAAACTCCCATGATTTTTTTTTCTCTCTCTCTCTGAACTGTACATTCACATCCTGCCAGCTACAAGAGCCTGGCAGTGCTGGGGTCTTCAGTTCTTTGCCGACTCTGTTGTCTCCATGTGCAGCTGGTTCCGTGCTGGGCAGGGCCTATTTACAGCTGTCCAGGGCTTCTCCCACCACTCCCATGTCCGTGTTACCCTCTGACAACATTGCTGGCCCCTTCTGTGCTAGGGCCGTGGCACAAGCAATTACTCCAGGTTTCCCGCAAAGTACCAGAGCACTGCTCAGTCTGCCTTTCTCTTGAGGGGCAAAGGACCAGGTGGGGCTTCTGCCTCTCTCCACCTCTCCTGGTCTGTTGTAGACATTGAACTGCCTTCGAGAGTTGCAGACACACCCATGCTTCTGCCCCCAGGCTTCTGCCCCTGTGTCCAGTCATGTGCACCCCGACAGTGAGTACCTGATGCTCTGGGACCTGGAGTGGCTCGAGGGCTATTCCAAGAGGTCTGGAAGCATGATGAGTATAAAGCAGGTCTGTCACACTGCTGTCACATCTCTGCTCCCAAGGGGCAGGGGTCCTCATAGTACTACATCAGCTTCTGCTCCTGGACTGTCCACTCTAAGGAGAGACTATGCCAAGCCCAGTCCCATGGAAGGAGTCTGTCCACGTCCCTAGGTCCTCATCAAGACTAAGCTCATCAAGGGAGTGTTTATACCAGGCAATGGCTCCCATTGGATAGCCGAAGGTCCCTGTCACTACACAGCACAGGTGCGAAGGTGGGTGGGTAAAACGACAATGTAGCAGCTCTGGGAAGGACTAGAGAGGGACTGAGCCAGGCAGTGTTGAGACGCCAGTGCCTTCACACAGCAGAGAGAGCGCCCTTCTCATCAGGGAGGGCAAAGTGCCTCTGTGCATGGCATCTGACAGCACAGCAGGTCTGGTGAGCAGGGCCATACCAGAACCCATGCCTACAGGAAGACCACTTCCCAGGATGAGGACAAGAAGGTTGGCTGTGGCCCATATGCCGCAGTTTGCCATGTACTGCTGAGTTGGCACCCGAAGTGGTACTGAGCCAGCCCCAAGCAAGGGTTGGTGAACCAATGCAGTAAGGGCAATGCCATCTCAGGCCCACAGTGCCAGAGGTGCCACTCTCCCCAGCCAAGATCCCTGGTACCTTTTGTGGGATGGCCAAATGCCCGGCGGACAGCGCTTCATGCTGAACATGTATACAGCAGCTTCAGCCGTGCTGAAGAGGCGGCAGAAGCACAGGAAGGCACAGACAACCACGGCAGAGGCAGCTCTCCCATCCTAGGACAAAGGGACACAGGCCTCCTTCCTATCTGGCCACACGTGCATGGGACAGGGCGAGGTTCCTGCAAATCCCCACACCTGCTGGCTACAGGGAGGCTGTGTTGTACCTCTGCAGTTTGGGGTACGTTCAGGAGCTCACACCTTTGCACCTGGTGCCGGAGGACTCACAACCAGCAGAGCATGAGGGCTCCTTACCAAAGCACAGGGCCAGACAGCTGCACTGTCTACGCTGTGCTCCAAGCTAGCAACTTTCACCAGCAGCACCTATGGCAGCAGCTAAACTGCAACGAACACCTGTCCTCTGCAGATGGAAAACCAGAGGCAAGGGCTCATCTGCCCAGTAGTGGCACAGCCAAGTTGTGGTCCCATACAACAAAGTGGCCTCCAAGTTGGTCAGTGGGTTACAGCCACAGTGGCTCTGCCCCCACAAAGACAGCAACTCCCCAGTGGTCCTTTCCCCTGGGCCAGAATGTGCTGTGGCAAAGGTTCCCTCTGCCTGGCCCCAGGCTGATAACATCCCCACCCAACAGGAGGGACCACAAGGCCACCGTGCACTCACCACACAGTGTACAACGCAGACATTCCCGTGGTCCTGCCGCAGCCAGGAGTGCATGTTCCTGCAGATGGTGTACAGGCTGTGGAGGCTTGGGGCCCGCCTGGCAGCCCAGCCACACTCAGAAACCTATGGAGAAGTCCTGCTGGCTCAGCTCCCAGTCATGCCATCAACTCAACCAGCACCACAGAGCCAGTGCCCCGTCTGGCACAAATCACTCCCTGGAACACTTCCAGGTCATGGTGGCCATGCTACCTTCTTTGACTGTAGTTTATGTACAGATATCTATCTCAGCCGTTGTGACATGGGACACAACTCACTGATAGTACAAAAAGAATCACCCTTCCTGTGCCTTAGGTCAAAAAAGCAGGAAGAAAGGGCTGGCCAGATAGCTCAGCAGATTAAAGTGCCTGCTTATGCAGATGCAGGGGCCGGGGGTTCGATCTCCGGCCTGCTATGCCGGCCCTGCCCCGTGACTTAGGGTGTGCTGGGGTGCACCTGTAATCCCAGTGCTTAGGAGACTGAAAAACAAGAAGGATCACTACAAGTCAAATCTGTGTAGTGAGACCTTATAGGTCCTGTACTAAATACATTTTTAAAAAAAAAGCAGGGAAGGTCCTGCATCAGATGCTCACTCCCTTGGGGGCTGGAAGGAGAAATGGAAGAAGTACCCAGCTCTAAGGATGGCACCCTTTGCTAGCACAATACGCCCCATTTGTCCTCAAGGTTGCCCTGGCCTGCTTCTCCAGGACCAAGCCTCCTGTACAAAGCTTCATCTGCTCACCACAGGCTGCTGGGTCAAAGTCAGCGTCAGTCCAGTGGGAAGTTAGGGGCAGACTGATTTCACTAAAGGTAATGAAAGACTTCCACATCACACCAACACAAAACCTAGGACCACGTACCCGGTTGTGGAACTTGGAGGCCCGGTAGGTTCTCGGGGACAGGTTGTAGACAGCATAGCGGCCTGGGTGCTTGGCGTCCAGAAACAACCGCACATCTTCGATGTTATTTTTGATAGCTGACTCCACGCCCTCGGCAGGGAATGACATCACTGAAACAGAGCTGCCCGTCAGCCGCCCAGGGCCCCAGAGGCTTGCTCTCCACCCACCACACACCTGCCTCCTTGTCAGGCGGGGATGTCCTGGCTGACCATCAGACCACCCACATGGGGGATCTTCCCACTCAACTGCACAGATTTGGGGGAGCCTGCAGGTCTCCAAGTGTCATGACGAATGTTTCCAACTAGGCTTTGCCTGGAGATCCAGTTTAAATGTGTACAACCCCATCCCATAACCACAGAGCTCCAGACGGTGCCAAGACTGGGTTGCTGACCACGTGGGCCAGGAGCCATGCTGGACACAAGCCACCCAAATACCACCCCTCCAGGATGGTGCCCAGGCCCAGTGGAGTTCCCAGCTACCTAGCAGGCTGGAGATGAGGCACAGGCCACCAGTGATGGCTACCAGTCCAGGCCTACAAATTATCTTCATGCCTGGTAAGAGCACAGGTGTTCCCTGAAGCTGGACCAAAAAACCTACCAGCAATCCTGGAGGTGATGTAAGATATGTCCAGGTCACCCTTTGCATAGCTAGAATCAGAAAAGAGAGCATAATTACATAGATATTACTTAGTAGCATATCACCTCCAGCTGAGCTCAGTCCTGAGACACAGAAGCCATCCCATCATTGTAGGATGCACCCCAAGGTGATGGTGTGTGCAGCGTGCTGTGCAGTACACACCACATGACTGGGACACCCATGTGACAGTCTATAGGAATCAGCAACTGTAGGGTTTCAATGGCCTTCCTATGCTACCACATGTCCAAGAGAAGCAGCAGTGGGAGCTGTTCTTGAGAGGGTAACAAAGGTGAGCTCACCATGGACGATGGGCATGGGCCCTGCTGGCTTAGGGCCCTACTGGGGCACTTTAGACTGTGGTGGGCAGTCAGAAGACATAGGTCCGTGTAGGCCACAAGAGGCAGAAGGGAAGGCCCAACCCATGGGTGCATGCACATCCTTGCTGATGGCTTCAGTCACCTTAAGAGAAGCCAGTTATCCCCTAAGCCAGTCAACAAAACCAATAAAGTAAGACCAACCCTAACTGACTGGGAGAAACCTGCAGGCTCATTGACTCTGTACTGAAAGACAGCTATAGAACAGCGAGAAGCCCCTTGTGGGGAAGAAGGAAAAGGCAGCCACCTAGCAGGTGGAGCATGCACTACACCACTCAGCAGGCCCAAGGTGGAGTGGCCAGGCTACACACTTGCCACTAAGGACAGGCCACAGAGATATGGGTCAGGGGCTAAGGATCAAATGCTACAGAATGACAGACCAGTTAGCTAAGGTGAAAGTTCCACTGAACAAGGTGACAAGTGAGACAGAAGAACAGGCAGGCCCAATGCTCCAAAACTTTAGCAGAGGATACACTGACCAGGACGAGGGGACATGTAACAAGTATCGGCAAGACATAAAACAAGAACACATAGTTGAATGTAAACCACCAGACCCAGTGGTGACCCAGCCACACCTGGAAAACTGCGCAAGCACATGGAGAACATGGCAGGACACAGACACAACAAGGGACCAAATATCACAGGGTCTACACCCACCCCAAACTCCAGCTCAGCAGGGAAGCTCCAGGGGCACAGGAGGATATACCCATCAGGCCCACAAACCACACTGCCAGAGAAGCACAAGGACATGGGGAAGCTCTGGTACAGCTAGGGCACTCACCACCACCCACCACACCTGGCCTCCTCTGTAGGAACAGCCACAGCCAGAGGAATGCCCTGCTACCTCTGAGCCAACCCAACATACCAACTGTATATGGAATTCTGCTCTTAGGCAGAAGCCACGTTTTCACAATGTCCACACATGCACACACCCATACAACATGGTTCACGCACTCGTATATGACAGTCACATACACATGTACATGCTCATACAATGCAGCACACACACTTGTATGACACTTGCATATATGTTCATATGTACACATTCATACAATGTCAGGGCTGTGAACACTCACAGACAAATTATGGCACAAAAGAAAAATCAAAAGAGTGAAGCCAAGAAGGTCAAAGTTCCACCTGTGTGACCACCAGGCTGTGGCTCCAACACCTGCACACATGGCTCCACTGAGGTGTTTCCTCAAGCAGCAGGTGGCAGCATGGGTGACCATGGCTGGTTAGGGGTCCCCAGAAACCCCAAGTTGAGGCTAACCCAGGAGCTGGCTTCAACTCACTTAGCCTACATCCCAAGACCCCAAGTGCAGGGTGGCCCGGCCCCACTACAAGCTCTCCATATCACAATGTATCCTTCAACACCACTCAGCCTTGTGGCCAGGCCACCATGGTGACCGTGGTAACTGCAGAGAGCTGTGCAGGAGAAGGGTCACCACAGCCCACAACCACTTTACTGGTTTATAACAAAGAAACACCACTAGCATGAAGGTGCCGCAGAGGGAGCCAGACTCTGAGCTGGGAACTCTGAGTCCAGTGCCAGCACACAGACGGCTCCATGGAGAGGGCCTCCAGCTTGCAAGGTGCTGGGCTCACCCCACAACTGCACTTGGTACGAGGGGTGGCTGGCACGTGCTATCCTGTACTTACTTGGCCACAGACTGGATGACCTTGGAGGAAGTGTCCTTGAGGTTGGTGAAGAGACGCTCTGTCCCGCCCCGCAGGATATCAAGGAAACCACCATAGGGCTGATCGTACTCTGTCAAGGCCAGGGCTGCAGGAAAGACAGGTCTCACTGGGTCATATGGCCAGAAGCTCAGAGCGGAGGCCAGGGGAGCAGCTCTCAAACCACAGGGTCCTAGTGAGGCCTTTAGCGGCTCTGTGCAGTGTGATGTGCCAAGCTGCACAGTGGGCCCCTCTCCTCACAACCATGGTGTGATGCTGGCCATACAGGACACAGAACCAGGCTCTCCTCAGGGAGTGGAGAGCTATGGAGGAACCCACAGAGCTTGTCACAGCCCCTGAAAGGAGATGGGGGCCTCCCCCACAGTGAGTGCAAGGCTGTGATGCCATCCATGGTCACTCTCCTTCCTGCATACACCCCACAGCCCACTCCACATCCCAACCAGGTCAGCTTCCCCATAGCCAGGTCAGGGTTTAGTGGGGCTCACTGTGGGGTCTTGGGCCCAAGGCAGAAGCTGCAGACAGGTTAGCTGCGCCTACTAGGCTGACCTCATCTACAAGCTGGACACCAGGAGGACCCCAGCCTTAGCTGGTGAGGCTCCCACGACTACCCCTGAATGGTTTCTGGGGGCTGGCCCTGGCCCTCTGGCCCCTGCCCTGCAACTGCCCTCAGGTGACTCTGGGCTAAATGCTCCTGCTGGATTTGATACTACACTGAGCACTTCAGCTCAGCTCAGCTGGTGTTCCAATACTGCTGCAGCCTCTGGAACCTCAACCTTGCAGTTGGCTCCCACGAGATGGAGTGCCACAGAGCAAGGACCTGGTTTCCAGTATGTGAGTAGGGTGCAGACAGACAGCCCTATGGGTGGGGGTGAGCAGGTCTCACCTCCACTGTAGCTGCTGCTCAAAGGACCCCCAGGAACGGGTGGTGCCCGGGACGGCCCTGGGTTCCCACAGCCTCCATTCTGTTCCAGCAGCTGAAAGAGTCAAAGGCACAGTCAGCTCCCACAGGCCAGCTGCACTCAGCTGTAGCTTGAGCCTGCTTTGGGGAAACCCTGCTGGTGGCAGATCCACCCCATCCTTGAGCTGTGGTCTTGTTCTCCTCTTCCACCTCTCCCTAGCCCACAGGCCCTGGGAGCGGGAGCAGGAGCAGTCCATACATGGCACAAGGGCACCAGCAGCTGGTCAGAAACGGGCTGTTCCCCTCCCTCCTCCAGCCATGAGGTGTTCTCTGGAGAGTCAGCTGGCACAGAGGGCTTAAGGGGCTCCATAAGTGCTAGAACCAGACGTACTTGTTCCCCATGGCAAATGGCTCCTCTTTTCTGGACAGTAAGAAGAACAAGGCCCCAGCTCCCACACCCATCCCACAGCACTTGTAGGTTATATAAAGGTTCAAAGTCAGAAGCAAAGAAGCCCAGTTACCCTTTGTAGAACAGAGCCATCCATCACCCCCATCTCTGTCTCTTCTGAAACCCTACACCTCCCACAACAGTCCTGACAATGTTACCTATACCATGTACTCACCAACTCCAGAATAGCTGGCACCAGTTTCAGGGTATCCCTGCCTTGTGCTTCCAGAGGGGACCCACCAGCCAATATCTCCATTTCCTGTCACTCCTTGACCCCAAGCCTGTGCACTCAATGCCACCTCCATAGGAACCACAATCCTGACCTCCTCAACTTCCTCCCCCAGGGACTTGATGGGGACTCAGGTCAGTTACTCTGACCTCTCCACGTTACACAGGCTCTTCTGCAGCCCCACATCCTTGGCCCTGGAAAATCTGGCTTCCAGCTTCAAGGCTAAAAGGACCTGAAGCTATAGAATAGGACCAGTGCTCCAGAGGAGGGTGGCAAACTCCACAGGTGGGACCCAAAGGAGCCCAGGGACACACCTGTACCCTGCAACCTCAGTGATACTTCAGAAAAGGTTTCTGACCAACACGCCAAAGCACTCCCTGGCCTGCCTAGGAGTGACCATAGCTGAGACCTTAAGCCATAGCTGGATGCTGATGCCCAGGGCCATAAAAAAACAATCTCATTCACTGCAGCACCCAAGGTGAGGATTGCCAGACAGTGTGACAAAGCAATCCTCATGGCTGACCCAGCCAAGAATCAACCCTCCCCAGGTTGAGGCAAGCCCCACCGCACAACAGCTGGAGCCTATGGGAGATCTCAGAGCTAGGTTAAGAACACACACCCTGACATCTCAATGTAGGCATGGCCAGCAGATGACAGGCCTCACCTCCATGATGGGTGCCTTGGGGTTCACATTCCTGGCTGCTGCAATCTCCTGTAGCTGGCGCACAGCCTCCACAATGGACAGCCGCTCCTCAGGGTTCACCTTCAGCATGGCACCTGCAACAGAACACAGCAGCTATGTTCGGCCCAGGCTGGACAGCACCACCAGGCCATCTGTTATATATATACTGCTGTTGTCAGGCAAGGGACGCAAGGGCACAAAAGCAAGGGCAAAACAAGAGCCAGCAGGAATGGCCATTCAAGATAGGCATGGTGGTGTATGCCCGAAATCCCAGCACAGAGGCAGGCTGAGGCAGGAAATCCTCAAGTTTACGGAGCAACTTAGCCAGACCCTGTCTCAAAACAGAAAAACAGGTGGAGGGTTATATAGCTCAGTGCTCCTATAGCTTCAACTCCCAGTGCTGAAAACAAAAGAAAAAAATGAGCCATTCAGAATACCCAAAGTTCACAAAGGGCAGAGCCACCGGGACACTACTGAACAGTCACTGTGGTGGGAAGCGTGGGGTGGTGATACTCAGAGCAGACCTGCCCAGCAGCACAATCACGAAGACTCACGGATGAGGTCGTGGAAGACGCTGTATCGCGTGTCATTTGCAGGGATTGAGTACTTCCCATTGACAATGCGCAGTTTTGCTCCATCCTCAAAAGGGTGCTGCCGGAAACACAGCAGGTACAAGATGCAGCCGAGGGCCTGTAGGGAGAGCAGGACCTTAGCCTTGAACTCAGGGCCACAGGGTGAAGGCCCAGGCCCAGGGCAGCCCCATCCTCAGGGACCCTAGAAAGCACCTGCCAGACTTCTGTCCCATCAGTTTTACAAGTCTACCCTGGTTCAGCTCACAAATGTCAAGCTGGCTGAGCAGGTTGGCAAGGTGACCCACCACACCAGAAGCCTTGGATTTTCCATCCTCATCCAGAAAAGTGATCTCGGTAGGCTACAGGGCTAACACTCCAAACCCTGATTTTTCACAAATCAAAGGGTTACTTTCAGCCCTGTATGGTGGTGCACACCTGCAATCGTAGTACTCTGGGAGCCTGAGGCAGGAAGATAGTTAAGTTTGAGCCCAGCCTGGGCAACTTACTTAGTGAGATCCTTTCTCAAAATAAAAGAATTTAAGAAGGGCTGGGGTTACAGCTCAGTGCAAAGACCCTAGGTTCAATCCCCAGTCCCCCCCCCCCGCCCCCGCCGCCCAATTCCCTTTAAATTTATTTTATTTATACATATTTTGTTTTTGGAGATAGGGTCTTGCTATGTAGCCCAGGCTGGTCCTGAACTCAGTTATGTAACCCAGGATGGCCTCGAACTTTTGTTGATCCTCCTGTGTCAGCCTCCCGAGTGCTGGGATTATAGGCGTGCACCACCATGCCTGGCCTCCCTACAAATTTAAACAGACCACACGGAAGCACTGAGATCTGTGGGCTAGTGGGCACCACAAGGACCTTGCCACACAAGAGGCACAGCGGCTGCCAGGGAAGCATGGTCCCAATGACTCCTTGTGACAGTTCTGGGCAGCTTGCAGGGCATACTTCACTAGGGTTTCTAGACCTGACCTCTCCCTGCCCAGAATGTCTACTCATGCAGTCTACCCCAGGCCAGGTGTGTACCACACTATCTCTGCCTGATGTGTGCTGTCTCCATAAGAGGCACAGCAACCCCAGCCGGCTCGGCTCCAGTCACTCCATCGGCACTCAAGTGAGTCTTCACAAAACAAAGAACAGGGACAGCAAAAGAAGGGAAGCTGAGGCGGCGGCCAGCTCCCACCACGACACCAGCCCAGGCTCCAACGAGGTAGTGCTTAGCTTACCCAGATATCCTGTTTCTCGCCAATGGGGAAGTTGGAATACAGATCTACGATCTCTGGCGTCCTGTACATAGGTGTGGTGTTCCTTGTGATCTGAAGAAAAAAAATGTGACTATTTCTTGGAGAAGCTCCAGGTAAGCAGTCTCTAGCTCTGCAACAGTCCTCCGACTCTCTAAGCGCTGCTGCAGCCTGGGCAGTTCCTGGTCTTCCCACAGGGTCCCAGGAGAGGCTCAGCCACCCAACAGAAGGTAGGTACAGTCCAGCCTCAAGCAGGACCTCCCAGGCAGAGACAAGCCCTGTAAGTGCACTGCTAGTCCATGCTTTAACGACATCTGTATGGGTACCAGCAGCTCTGCAGGTGAGTGGTAGTGACGCTGAGCACCGTGCACTCAAAATGACTTGCAGCAGTCAGTTTCATGTTACATGTTTTACAACAATTTTCAAAAATCCCAGAGAACAAAGGATAAGAGATTCAGAGCTACCTGACAAGAGGAGAATGAGCTGAAACACTCCACTCAACTGTCAATGGCCACAAAGGCATGACAAGGGCCCTGAAGCCTGGTGCCGACAGTCTCTACATCCCTATCCTTGGGGACACAGAGTTTGCTCCAAGGGGTCACAGGAGTCGAAAGGAGTACAGACAGAGAGGAAGGGGCTGGGAATGGCCACATCAGGCCATGGGGCACCACCTGGCCTCACCTCCTCCTCCACCATGGCTCGCTTCTGGGCGCTCCAGCTGTAGTCAGGGTAGTGGGAGATGGTGGTGGCACTGCCAAAGTCACACAGCTTAATGGTCCCCTGGCTGCTGAGCAGTAAGTTCTCAACCTGCAGGATGCCAGAAGATAGTCCTATGGATGTTTAGGCCTCAGTGGAAGTAACAGATTATGTTGGGCAGGATGAGCAGACAGCCCAAGGCTGGGGGTGAGGATACTGGCCACAGGCTCCAGTGACCCCATATCCACTGCAGACAGGCAGCAGTTCCACATTAGAAGCAATGGTGTAGGATGAACATACACACACACACGCACAGCCTGTGCAGGGCTGAGGAAGAAGGGTCACACAAATCTGGATCTACAGATTGGAACTCACATTCCAGTCTTTCTCCAAGGGAAATGTGCCCTAACCTAAACTCTATTTTTCTTTTGAGACAAGGTCTCACTATGTGCAGGCTGGCCTCAAACTCAGAGTGAACCTCCTGCCTCAGCCTCCTGAGTGCTGGGACCATAGGCATGTACAACACCTGGCTTGCCTTATCTTAAATTCTTTCTGATCAAAAGCAATATATCTGTGATTCAGAAAAATAAAAAAGTTAGTATCATTATAAATCATACAGATAATCCCAATTAATCATGAGATACAATGAACCAATATGTCACATGTAACTAAATTAAACATAGCCCAGGAACAAACTTAATAAACAAACTTAATACCTACTGTGCGGAAAATCATAAACAGCTGAGATGAAATTTAAATATAAAGCACAAAGTGAAACACCAAGCTTCTGACATGGTTTCACAATGTCATGAAGAGGTACAATGTTATTAGGATGTCTCACTGCTCCACTGGCCCCAGGGCCCTGTTCAAGCAACTCTGGCCACAATCCACAATACAGGAGTTATTTATATATTTTACATGCCTGGGGGGAGGGGCTCAAAGGAAGATTAGCACTTCAGATACATGAAATTACATGGGTTCTAGTCTGTAGATCCAGATTCAGCCATGTCCATTCCTTGGGCAATGGTCCTGGAGGCTGTGTTCCCAAGCAGGGTGTGTTCCCAAGTTCTTAAACCACCAGTGCCACATCCATAATGGCTCCTCACAGATATCTGTCAACTCTGCTATAGAGTCACAGCACTTCTGGTCAATTCCCAGAGATTTGGTGGAATGTCACAAACTGATTCAAAAACTTGATGAAGACACAAAGAGTCAACAGGAGCAGAGAGCCCCCTGTGCAAGGCTTTGGTCAACACAGGTACTGGCCCAAGGATGTGAACTAATAGGTCACACTCTCATCACAGGATACCCTGTGGGTATATGAAGAGGGTGTGCCACATCCCTGGGGCTGCAGGGTCTGGCCCAGGAGGAGGACCCAAGTTCACAGAAGCAGCAGGAAGGAATGATGTCCTTACCTCCTAAAGACTCCTACAGCATTCAAGAGACATGTAGTCACCAAAGCATCCTGAAGGGCAGCAAGGTAGCTATAGAGAAGAACCCTGCCCCAAGAGGCTGCAAACCACAAGGAAAGGACAAGAGAAAAACAGGTACCAAAAGAGATCTAAGTCCATGATGGGAAGACACAGCTTCAAAGGCAATGCTCCTGCAACAGGACCCTGAGGCTGCCAAGGTCCTGGCAGACCCAGGACCAGCCAGACAGGAACACGAAGTTTACTCCACAGCCACAGGACAGGGCGGAGAGCAGGCCTGAGAGGGCCTTGAGCTCTCTGCACTGGAGGATGAACAGCGTCCACCAGGACAAGCTCACACTTGGATTCTTCACTCCTCATCCTGCTGTTCTTCACTCTCCTTAAGAAAACACAGGCAAGTACACGCATACCAGATTAACTCCACATCACAGATGTTGAAAGACTCTGATGCCCTGAAGAGACCTTCAGCAACCACAAGGAACCCTGGGGCTGAAGGCAGAACCAAGGCAAGCTTACTGCAGGACCCAAGAGCCCTTACTTCCCATGCAGTGGGCCTGGAAGCTCAAAAGACACTCCTGCTGCAAGCAGCAGGGCCCTACACAAAGTACAAAAAGAAAGGAGGAAGAAATCACAGAATAAGTAAGAGTGGAGGAAAGCGGGAGGAGGGTAAAGAGGAAGAGGAGTGTCTCTGAAGGAGCACAGAACAGGCAGACCTGTCTGCCGCATAGGAAGGCAGCTGGCCATCAGTCACCTCGAATTTTGCTTTACAAACGTTTGGGTTTGGTGATCCAATGCTGGGGGTCAAGTTCACTGTAGTATCTGAGTTCTAAATGTAGATTCACAGGCAGAATGCCCAGTCAAAGTCACAGAGGACTTGGGCTAGGGAGATAGCTCAGGGGCATAACTGCCTGCCTGGCAAGCACAGAGTCCTGAGTTCAATCCCCAATACCGCAAAAATAAAAAATAAAAAAATAAAATAAAATCACAGAGAACAGAGCCTACCCCAATCAGAGATGCACCACTGAAAACTGCTTCTAGACCCTGGGCTAGGGGATGGAGAGAATAAGATGAGGGAGAAGGTCACTGAAGCCAACTCCATGTGGCACTTGAAGAGAAGTCCCATGCCCTAGAATCTCACAGGCACACAGAGATCTGGGGGAGTACGGAAGACATCAACCCCTGGGCAGAATCCACCATGGCTGAGACAGCTGTGACTCTGGAAGCCAGGCCAGGGAGGCACACAGGTGGAGAGATAGGGGGTATAGCTCAGGGGTCGAGCACTTGACTGCAGGTGGAGAGATAGATGCTGCCCTTACCCTGGGTCACACATGGTCAGTTATGTAAGTAATACGTGAGGCAGTCAAGGTGGGCTGAGCACTGAGAGGAACTCAGGGGCTTGGTGGACCCAAAAGCAAGGAGGGGCTTCTTTGAAGGTCTGGCAGGGGTGCACTGCCCAATCGCACATTCATGAGCTGATCCCCAGCAAAACATCTGCTTTGCTGGTCAGAGTGCTACAATGACATAAGAAACATTCTAGCTCCCGGAGATGCGCACTTTTCAAGTGAAACAGCTTAAAAAATCTTCTGCACAAAGAATCTGCCTCAGTAAGGAGTCAGGTTAAAGACAAGCTTAGTGGATGATTCAAGTGTGGGGTTGATTAATAAGACACAACAACAAAGTAGAGACCAGGACATAACCAGAAGACTCCCACAGCACACACAGCCTTAGAAACAGGACACGCATGGAGCTCCACAGAATTAAACTCCAGGACCATAAAGGAATGTAAAAAAAGGTACGAACTAAGAATAAGGCACTGATGACTAAAAACACGTATTTTCTGGTTTTGTTTTTTTTTTTGGTGACCGACTCAGCCTACCCTGGGGGTGGGGCTGGCATGGCATGTGGTAGAGGGATCAAACTATGGTCCCTAGGCTTGCCTAAGCAGGCACTTTAAGCCTCTGAGCTATCTCACTGGCCCCTACTGTCATTCTATTGCGGAAAAGGTAAATTTCTAACATGCAGGCTTGTTATCCCCACCCCATCACACTGCCAGTCAACTGCAGACAGGGGCCCTGCAGGACAAGGACAAAGTAGTAGGACCAGAGACCTAAGAAGGGTAAAGGGCAGCCCCTACACACACCCTAGGAGGTCACACCCTGCAATAGCATCACAGGAAGATGACTGCCTGAGCTCAACAGACAGAGGCGCTCACAAGGCCTCAGCCCGGGGGCTTAGGGCATGGAATGACGTGAGGGCACCTGTGCCCATGGCTAGTACCTTGAGGTCTCTGTGGATGATGGGCGGCTTCTGCCTGTGCATGTGCTGCACAGCTCTGCACGTCTGGTAGAAGATCTTCAGGACGGTGTCACAGGGCAGAGGACCTTTAGCTTCAATTTTCTTTAGAAATTCTACCAGCTGCCCTAAAAGAGACAATTGAGTTCAATCACTCTGGGCCTGAAAAATGCCATGCCCTCCAGGTCAGGGGTAGGTTCTGGTTCTGCTGGTACAGGACCTGCACTCACTGGCTTATCTCAAGTTACAGTTGGTGCCTGACCAGTTGGCCTGCACAGCTGGATCTGCCTCTCCATCCCTCCACTGCTGCAAGTCTGTGGGCACCAGGTGGCACTGCAGCCCTGGGTGTGGGTCAAAGGCAGCCAGCACAGAGTAGTCTGGGAGCAGCACAAACAGCAAGGCCCTCCAGTGGAGGCCCAAGCAAGAGAAACAGCTCCCTGTAGTTGGTCAGAGAAAGATCAAGGACTTGCATCTTCATGGGGCCAAAAAGAGTAATTACAGACCACTTGCCATGACGGTGACAAACAAATTATGTGTCCCTGTAAAGGTCACTGCCCCTCCTTAGGTACAGACAGTATCTACCTGCTAATACTGTGTCTCAGACTCTGTGCATACAACACGAAACCTGCAGTGGGCCTGGCACTATCCAACTGCTCTCCAGGGATCCCAGGCTAGACCACCAGCTCTGCCAGGCCTAGGGCTGAGAACTTGGGTGTAGGCACTGGGATGCTGTTGGCACCCTAAGTATGCCTGTATGTTCTTCAGTCACCCCACTCCACACAGGTTTCACAGTTACAGCTGTAGCCCCAAGCATGGTGTTGCCTGGAGCCTCTTCAAACTACAACCAACCTAGCCTTAGTTCTCTGCCCCTGTACCTGCTCTCCACAGAGCAGCCTCCAATGAGCCTTCTGATCAACACACTCCAGGCCCTGCTTGGCCCAGGACCAAGGCCACACCACAGCCACAGCCACCAAACTACAGCAGATCACAGCCACTGCTCTGGTGACTACATTTCCTCCCTGCCCAAGTACACTGGCCTCACACCTCACATCTCCTTCCAGGGGCTTCACTATCCCCCTCATCTGAATGTGCAATCTTTATCCTGCCACAGCTTGGGCTTCCAAGCCTGTCAGCTTCATCTGGACAGCACAGGGTCTCCAGGCCTGCATAAGCACGGCCAGCAGCAGCTTCACAGTGTACCAGAGTAAGATGCTAGTGCTGTGAGAGCAGCCTTGGTAACCCCCAGGCCTCTGCAACTTCTAGAAGAAAGAAAACATAGGCTCGTGTGCCTCTGGTCTCCTGCAGCTCAGAGCAAAGCCTTCTACTAATGCAACTTTAAACCAGGAGCTCCAGGCGCAAACCTATAGCAGGGATTCCAGACCAGTTCTGGATGCCCTCCCAGTGCCCAGCTGGAAAGCCCCCAAGCCCTGCCAGCCGATTTACCCTGGCTATCAACCTGGGGTTCCAAACCTTCCCCCCTCCCCCTCAGCCAACGTGTTCCAGTCTCTGCAGCGGCCACGAGAGATTGAGACTTTAAGAGGAACAGGCGCAGGAAGAGGCGGCTTGGCCCAGGGGAGGAGAACCAGGCCTGGGGGCCAGAGCAGGGGCAGTAACCCTGGCTGTGCTGAGTGGCTCATTCTTTTTTTTTTTTTTTGGCGGAACCAGGGATTGAACTCAAGCCCTTGTGCTTGCCAGGGAAGTGCTTATTCCACTGAGCCATCTCCCTGGCCCCTCAGTGGCTCATTCTTGAGAAGAATTAAGGAGTTTGTTTTTAAAAGTAAAAAATTCAGGTCTGGCAACATGTAGCTCAATGTTAGAGCACTTGCCCAGTATGTATGAAGCCCTGAGTTTCATTCCCATACTGCAAAGCAGAAAGTAGGAACTGCCCAAGAGCTCTCCCTTCTCCTCGGGCCCTTGTACAGAAGACACACAGCAGCCACCCAGCTCTGCTGCAGGAGTCTGGCCTCAAAGCCTTCTCAGTCTGACCTGCTGCTGCACAGCACTCCCCAGCCTCACTGATCCAGTGTTCTGCATCCCCACTCTGACCCTCAGGCCAGGCACCCTTATGAGGCCTCTCAGGTACCACGAAAGGAAGTGTGTCTTCCCTTGGAGAGTGTACCTGGGCAGCAGAGCTGGACCCTCTGCTCCCCTCACTGCCGGCCAGGAACAGCAACTGAGCCTGCACCCGCCTGCTGCCTCCTTCACTGCTCTGCTGTGCAGAACACCACAGTGATGGACCCTTGTTTTTGACAGTTCCACCTCTAACTCTCCAGGACCAGAACCTCCACAACTTGTGCAAAAGTTTCTGACTTTTCCTAATGATGGAAAAGGGGCCCATTTTGAACAGCACCTGGGAAAATGATAGATGGTAGGAGGCCCCCCAACCCACATGGCCAAAGTGCTCAGGATGGGCAGAATCACGCCCTGATTGCCATCTGTTCCACCACAAACAGGCTCAGCAGCTCCAGCAATGCACATATGGGTTACCAATGTCTTGGTCTCAGGAACCCTGGCCTGTGAGCATGGTGAAGTGAGCAGGAAGCTGTCCTTCACCTCAGCCCACCCTCCAAGGCTTCAGTTACCCATGGCCAACTGTGGTCCAACGACACAGAATGGAACACTATAGACATAAACAATTCATAGGGCTTATGTTGTGGCATCCTGAGTGATATAATGGAACTTCACACTACCCCACTTCGTCCCTGGTGGGGGATCACCCATGACCCAGCCCATCTTCAATGGATCAGTAGCCATCCTGGTCATCAGAACAGCTTCCACAGTCTTGCTGCACCTGTCAGAGGCTCTGATCTGTCCCTAGGTTCAGGTACCCATGGGGATAAGCAGCACATTCTAGGGGCATGAAAAGTCCGATTTTATCAAATGTTTAAAAGTAAGTATAGGGCTGGTGAGATGGCTCAGTGGTCTAAAGCACCTATTTAAAACAAGCTTAGCTAAAGCACAGGTGACCGCGGTTCAATCCCCCAGCACCACATGCCAGCCAGCCCCCGCCCCCTGGTGGGCTGAGCTGAGCTGGCCACACACACACACACACACACACACACACGCATAAATAAAAAATAAAAAAAATTAAAAAAAAAAAAAGTAAGTATATATAGTAAACCCCTAGTCAGGCATAGTGGTACAAGCTTGTAATTCTAGCTACCTGGGAGCCTGAAGCAGGAAGACTGCAAGTTAGAGGGTGGCCTGGGCTACACAGGTAATTAAAGGGCAGCCTGGTTACACAGTGAGATCAGTCTCAAACAAAACCAGAACTAAACCCTCCAAAATAAACACAAGATTTATAGCATCTATTCAACTCTATATCATCTGTTTTTTCATTCAGCACATGTTCTTCTGTAACTGAAAATCACAGTAACAACTGACACCCAGGAAGGGGAACACCCCAGGAAGCTGAACAGGGCTAGCATCCTCCCTGCTCATGGGGACAGCCCAGGCCTCAGAACCGGTTTCCAGGCACCATGCACCTGACAGAGCAGCTGGGAGAAGTATTACTCAGAACAAAAAGGACATAGGTAGACTCACAACTGACCACAGCACAGGAGCTGCGCAGTGCTGCATGACCAACACACTGGAGACGGCTACAGATTATGACGATTTCCTTAGGGACAAATCTGGGACAGTAGTCAGTCCACATATGAGAAAAAGGATCTCGGGACTTGCTTCCTGCAATTTCTCTTTAAATAATTCAGCAAGAACACCACGGAAGGGGGTAACACACCGAGAATCACGATATAAAAGAGAATCTGGTGTGCCTACTGCACCGCTTCTAAGTTCTCTGTAGGTTTAAAACTTTAGAATGAGTCGAGGGGAAAAAACCCATGCCAGGGTCACTGTGTGGAGTTAGGGCACCATGGTCCCAGCCACGTCAACGAACTCTTCACCACACAGAGCGGGGTCATTGGGACCACAGCCGTCTGGTCTTCAGTGAGCAAGGGGCCCGGGAAACACAGATGACGACACAGCAGGGAAGAGCCCTTCCCGACAGGGCGGCCAGCTCCTAGTATTCCCCAGTCTGCTCCCCCGCCTTCTGCCTGTGCCAGTCCTACAGACATCGCCACCTGCCTGCCTGCCCACCCACTCTCCACTCAGCTCCCAGCCCCACCTGCACATGCACGCCCTTCCCTGAGCTACGCTGCCCCACCATGTCCACCTCTTGCCCCTGCTGTCTACTTATACTCCAGCCTCCTATTTTCCACTAGTTCCCATCACTCTCTGCCCATGCTGGCTATCAGAACAGTTTGTCTTGTGCCCTGTGGGCAGCATCTCTCACAGGGCAAACTGCTTTTCATGAGCTTCCTGCCTCACTCTCCCTCACTGCTCCTGTGGGGCCTCTTCTCCCTATACTCACTGCTCCAGTGACAACCATTCAAATAGGCACTGTGCCATGGCCCTGGAGAAGAGCTTCCTCTCAGGAATACAGGTCCTGAGACAGAGCTCAGCCCCAGCAGACACTCGGCCCCCGGCAGATGCTCTGCAGCTAAGCTGAATGTGAGGGAGCCACCCCACCCCCAAGTCCTAGCTCCACTGCACAGCCAGAGCCACAGGCTCAGCAGCACCCCTGGACAACCAGACAACCGCCCTGATCCCAAAGCACTCTGCAAGGGCTTTCCCAATGACCGGTCTCTCCCTGTCCTGATGCTTTCTTGGGTTTGACCTTGAGGTCACCTTCCCTCTAAAGGGCCCTCACTTTGCTAAGGGTAGAAAGCAGCCACAGTGAGCCTGTGACTACAGTCCCCCTCCCTTTCCTCATCTGCTCACTGAATGCCTCTTGCGTGCCAGCCCACTCTGCCATTGGGAAGACATGTGAGCCTGCTCCTCCAGGGCCTGCAATCTGGAGAGGGACATAGCTAAGTCTGTTCCAGGTGACTCAGATCGCCAGACAGACTGGTCTGTCCTTTTAGCTGAGACCAGAGCCTTCTGAGAGGACCCTGGGAGCAGATTACAGCAAAGTATACACACAGACAGCAGCACCCTACGCTCCAGAAGTACTTTACCTCTGCAGAGCTCTGTGAGCAGCAGGAACTCCGCTTGCCCCGTGTCAGATTCCTCTTTGCCTATGGATGCTGCAGAGCAGAACTGGACGATGTTGGGGTGACCAGAGAGTTTTTTCTGTAGATACTTTGTCAAAGGAGAACACACACAAACACAGCAACAATTCTGTGTACTCAGTACATACAAATCACTGAGAGACCAGTAACACCTGGAGTGCCTCACATCTCAGCAGAGCAGGAAGATGAGGACAGCTATGTGGGGCCACGAGAAGCTAAGGATGCAGAAAAAAGGAGTGGAGAAAGTGACACGCAGCCAGGCAGAGGCACTATGGTGCCACAGCAGGGGGTTGCGTTACCACGTCCACACTACCCACAGCTGGGCAGCTACCACATCTTCTGAGCAAGCAAAGCTTAGAGCAAGAAGCAGATCCAGGAATGTGAGGCCCCAGTCCAGGAAGACATGCATGGCAGTAGAGAGCAGGAAGAGCCCACAGCCCCACCATCTACGAGGCAGGCACTGAACAGAAGGCCACATGGGACCTACTGGCACCATAGCTGTCCACAGCCTTCACTCAGGCCTTCAGACAGATGGGGCAGGGCAAAGCACTCCCAGGCATGGTGATCTGTGGGGTAGGAACAGCAACCCCTTTCCCAGTATCTCTGAATATTTTAGTACAACTCAGGGAGTACAAAACAGGTCTTGTAGACCTGGAAATGGTCTATAAGAAATCTGGTAAAGGCAAAAGACCAATTTTAACATATGCAGAATGACACCAAGCAGATTCTGGCGGTTGGGGGTCACAGTCTGATGCAGGTCAGTGCCTCCCTAAGTGACAGCACCAGCCCGCAGGCCCAGAAAAAGGATACCAAGAAGCAAACTTCCTGAATGATGGCTCTGTTCTTTTCTTCTTCATTGGATAGTAACCGCTGTTGGGGCATAGCACATGAGACAGGTTGAAGGTCATTTACCTTGCACTTTACACGATGGCTTATCTTAGACAAATACCCAAGAAAAGAAAAAGCACTGCATCTGACAGCACACAACCCGTTTAGCTACATTTTAAAATCTGACCTGACAGAAGCTTAAAGACTCCTGAACAACTCCCATAAGGCAAGAACACAAGAGAAAGTAGAAATAGGAGCCATAGTGAAACAAGACAGACAAGGACAGCAAGAGGAACCACCAGGCAGAGGCCAAGGTCAGGCCCTCAGGGTCCACCAGTGAGCTGGGCCTGTAACTGTGTCCCAGGAAAACAGCAGAGATATCCCGCCCTACACCCAGGTCATGGAGACCTCTCCCAGCCCACAATGACCCCTATCCATGCATGCTCTGTGGGCACAAACCCTACACGAGTGGCCACTGAATTCCTCATATTCCTAGACCCTTATTCTGCCATATGGAACCAAGGGGCTGTGACCCCCCCCCCCCGCCCCAGTGAGGTCAACCTCACCGTGCCCCCAAGGCTGACTAGTCCTCCCAGCCCCATCGGATAGGAATAGCTCGAGGGTATCCTCAACTCAAACTGGAGACAGAAAACAGGCAGATGAATTATACAGCAGATACAAAATGAGTAACAAGGACTCATCTTGGAAAACAATCCTAGAGATACCTATAAATAAACCAACCCCCCACACACAGTGTCCAGCTATTCTCTTTTACCTTTAATGCATACTCTCTGCCACTTCCCAGATCTTGAGCTTCATACACAAATGCAAATCCTCCTAAAAATAAAATTGTATATCAGTTCAGTACTATAATTTGAGCATAAAAATATCTTTACTAAACAAAACACACACTACCCTTGGGGCCACAGACAAAAACTGTTTCCCACAAAGAAATGCAGCCCAGTTTACTCGCCAATGCCATTGACATGATGGGAAAGACAGACTCAGGCCAATCAGCAAAGGAGCAGTGTGGGGGAAATCAGCCAAATCAAAAGCCAGTACTCTGAAAACAGCAGCTCTTCTGAGATTTTACCAGACAGATTTAAGACTTGACTCACCAAATATTTTTCTTAAGACAGAATCTCACTGTGTAACCTAGGCTGGCCTTGAATTTGTGATTCTCATGCTTTAGCCTCCCAAATGCTGGGATCACGGGTACGCGATGCGCCAACATGCCCAGCCTTTGCTAAACTTTTTCTAGTGTTCTCCAAGTAGAAAATCACATTGTTAAATTTTAACCTGTCACCAAATTCGGATTAGAGAGCATCCACATACAACAAAAGGAGTATCCTACCTAGCATGCTTTGCACCCCGCAAAGGCCAGGTGCAAGGAAGGGCTGTGTTCTTGTCACTTGGTGTCATACTTCAGTATAATCAGATGAAAAGAATGAGAGGCATTCAGATCACAAGAAGCAGCAAAAGCATTCTTATTTTCAGGTAACATGATCACCTGCATGGAAAATCTGGTGAAATCTCAAAAGAACAGCTACTATAACTAATAAGTAAATTTAGGAAGGTTGCAGGATATAAAAGCAAGACAAAAAATCAATTATATTTTTATACCATCAAAATAGGCAGAGATTTCTTAGACATAAGCACAGAAGCATCATCCATTAAAAAAAAATGAACTGTATCTAAAAAGATTTTCTTGCAAATATACTAACCAAAGAATAAGACGATCCACTAATTAGGTTTGCAAATCATTTATCTGATAAAGGACTTCTATCCAGAAAATATAAATCCCAAATGCAGTAACAAAAATTTCAATGAACAATGATAGGTTTTTCGGCAGCATAGTGAAGAGATAGAAAAGATAAAAGAAGCCTTTACTCCAAAGACACGAGAGGATCACGGGCAGCTGGGGCAGGTCCTCTGGCCCGAGATAGAAAGCAGAGACTTTTCTGGACTTTGCCAGGGTGGGGCTGGAGGGGATGTGTAGAAACAGCTGAGCTGCTGCATATGGAGGAGTCAGTAGGCTGGAGTGTCTCTTGAGTGATAGCTAACTAAGGTGGTGGGGTGAGTGGACTGTGATAGACTGTCCTACAGTGAGCCTTTCTGCCCGCTGTGGAAGTGCGGCTGCTGTTGTGAATGCACGGAGACATGGAGTCCATCCACCAACTTCGGGCACTAGTATGGATTACTTCATTATTATGGTGGTCATCTCACATGGCTGAAACCCCTGAAACAACAGCTCACCTTCCCAGAGACCCCCTTCCCTATTTCCTTTCACCTTTCCCACCTCCACAGGAAGACCCCAGTCAGCTCCTCAGCTGTTTCTAAACAACCCCCTCCAACGCCACCCCAGCAAAGTCCATAGAAGATCTAAAGGCTCTGCCCCAGCTGCCCTCGATCCTCTCCATGTCTCTGGAGTTAAGAAAGTCTTCTTTTATCTTTCCTATCTCTTTACTGTGCTGCTGAAAAAACCTATCAACAACAAAAAATAGACACATCAACAAAGATACACTGGGGCAGTTAAACACATAGCAAGATATTTCACCATTATCATTAGAGAAATGCAAATTTAAACAAGATATTTAAGCATCAGAATGTCTAAAATTTTTAAAACTCACCAGATCAACTGTTGTTTAGGAGGAACAACTGAAATGTATTCCCACTACTTGTGGAAATGTCAAAAGACACAGCCACTAAGGGAAATCTTAACAATTTCTTAAAAAGTTAATCATATATCAACTATATAATGATGGCTGGCCATGGACATAAATGTATAAATGCAAGACCATAAAGCTGTAGGACAAACATGGAAGAAAATCTTCAAGACCAGGACTCTTAGGCATGTGGAAGGGGGATAGGCGACAATGCCAGTGCACTGCGATTACCTACTAATCTGCTTTTGAAGTCAATCTAAATGCACCCTGTTGACACCCAGACAGGGAATCCTGGCCCTAAACAGAGACTCTCCCACTTCGGTGAGTCCTGACTTCCCAACAGCTCTGCATTGGTCAGTCAGTACCAAGTCTTCCCTGCCTGTCCTGAACAAGGAAGCGCCCTCTATCTGTGGCAACAGAGAAACACAGTTGCCTCAGAAGTACTGAAGCTTGTTTAAATGTTTATGTAGAACACTAGATTTCCTACTCTGTTTCAGTTCAGAAAGCGGCTTCGAATAACTAAGTCAAAGGAGGAAATCTGGTTCATAATTGTTTGAGTTATTCTCTTCTCCTGGCTCACCCAGAGCACAAAGGGAACAAGCTCCTCTGCCCTTCCACAGCTTACACACTTCCTTGTTCTGCATCCGGGTGCTGCCTGAACAGCAAAGGCTTTCTGCCTTGCAGAACACCCCCACTCTTTCTCATTAAATCACACCCCCAAATCTGCTTATGACACAGTAGAAAAAAGTATGTGAGGGCCAGCCAGATAGCTCAGTGGACTAAAGTGCCTAAGCAGGAGCAGGGGTAGGGGTGCGATTCCCAGGCCTGCTATGCTGGCTGCACCCCCAGGGTATAGAGACAGCAGTTGAGACGGGTGTGGTGGCGGGCGCCTGTAATCCCAGGGCTTGGGAGGCTGTAAACAGGTGGATCACTACGAGTCCTATCTGGCAGTGAGACCCTGAACACCCTGTAGATCCTTCCCTAAATTACAAAAAAAAAAAAAAAAAAAAGGACACCAGAATGTTGTGGCAGATCCCCCAGCCCCAAGAACTAGCAGCTCTAAGCAGGGCCTCACTTTCTCCCCACACAAAGAGAGCAGAACACAAGTGTTTTTCACCCATAAGCTTCACACATGGAGAGGTAATTCTGGGCACCTTTAGACAAAGGCAAGGAAAGCCCAGAAATGGAAACTCCACGCACACCAACAATCAGTGTGAGGAAGGTAGAGAACATTCAGGAAGCACAAATAAATCTGGCAAAAGGCACCCCAGGACACACAGCTGATGGTCTATCCTGCAAGTCTCTACAGGAGCCACGGCCACCGGATGTCGGAAGAGAAATCGGCACTGTGAGACCCAGCGCTGTCCAACCTCGGCCCTCACGGGGGACAGCAGAACTCCCAGCGCCTCAGCGCTGTGTGCGGCACCCCAGAATTCGCGAGCCAGTCCCGACAGCCACAAGTCCGGCCTGACCCCTGGTGCACAGCACTGCTGGGTGTGGTGTGAAGACCCACGTGCACAGCCTGCCCTCGAGCTCTGCTCCCCTCTAGACGCCAACCGAGGCCTTCTGCGCCCCTTCTCTGCACGCCTACGGGCGCGGCCTCTGCTTCGGACAGCGGAGGCGCCTGCACACCCTGGCTGTGGAAGTCCTGCCTCGCTGCCCCATCCCTGCCCTGGCAACGGCGGCCCTTCTCCCCGAGCCGACCCTCCGGACGCGGACCCCACTGACAAGGACCTCCCTCCCACCCGACGCGACCCCCGCGCACAGTGGCGACCCTGCCGGACGCGACCTAACCCCGACAGCGACCTGGCTCTCGCTGACGGCGGGGCCGTCCTGGTCCTGACCCGCCCCGCGCCGCCACCGGTGACCCGGGCTGCCCTCCCGCCCGGCGCGGGCCTCACCCTCCGCCAGGACTCGCCGCACTCGCAGGCGCAGCTCGCCCAGCTCCACAGTCTGCCCCACGAAGTCGCTCTGGTCGCGGCCGGCAGCTCCACCCAGGGCGCCGGGACCCGCCAGGAAGTCGAGCGCGGACTGCAACAGGGACATGGCGACGGCTGCTCAGGACAGGGGAAGCTGGCCGGGCCGGGCCGGGCCGGGCCGGGGCCAGAGCTGGGCTCCGACTCCGCTCGGCCGGATCAGCGGCGCCGGGCTGGCCGCGCCGCCATCTTCCGCCCGCGCCGTGACGTCGGACCGCGAGCTCGGCGCGGCGCGGCAGGCGGAAGTGCGTCACTCGCTGCGGCCGCGCGGCGCGCGCCTGGCATCCGTCGGCCTCGCTCGGCCCGCTGCGGACGCAGGTCGCTGGGTCGCGCCGCCGGCCTGGGCGCCCTCCCCTCCTCGAGGTCCCGCCGGCCTGGATCGCGCCGCCGGCCTGGGCGCTCTCCCCTCGTCGAGGCGTTGGGCGCGCAGCGCTGCTCAACTGCCGCCTCCGCCCGGCCGTGCTGCACAGTGCCTGAGCCGAGGCCGCTGGCGCTGACGCCCCAAGGTAAAGCGAGGTCTTAACAGCCCGAGGGCGTCCCACGCGGGTCACCGGGAGGACCGCGCCCAGGGGTTTACTTCTGAGCCCGCCCAGGATGGGGGCCCAAAATAAGCTCGTCGCTGCTGTTGAAAGGCTGCAAGTTTAAGCGCCACAAGGCCAGCTCGCTAGCCTGTGCTGCAGACTCCTACCTAGCTATACAGGGTCCTGGGCCCTGCGTGCACCGGCCACCCAGAGCTGCCCCTCCAGGTACGAGCAGCCCTGTGCCTGCCGCCCCGGCCCCCTTGTGCAGAGCGGACCCTAAAACCCAGTTGTGGTCATCTTAACCTCTCAGGGTTTCACACTTAAAAAAATGCCTCTTGAGGCAAGTTAACACCTGCTGTCTTTAGAAATAGATTTAAAAAGCATAGAAGATGTGCATCAGGCGCTTACGAAGAAAGTTTGAGCTGAGCGGTGGAGTGGAGAAGGAAAGTGCCGGTGAGGCCCAGACGGCACGTGGAGGTGACTGAGAGGAGCCGTGTGGAGAAGAGTGGGGCTAGAGGGCCCTGTGTCCGAGGATGGGAGGTAGAGCGCTGGACGGCTCGCCGGCGCGCGGAAGTGCGGGAGGCCACTCAAGTGGGCGTGCAAGGGCATTCGCGCGTGCGCTAGGGGCTTGCTTTCCGCATGGGAAAAAGTTTTTTTTTTTTTTTTTAATGAGGGAAGGAGGAAAAATGCCTTGCAGTTGCAGGTTACTTTCTGTGTTTATTGGAATGAAACAGGGAATTCTGGTAACTAATGGTTTCTGACAGGGAAAAGAATGCATCCGCTAAAAGTGACAGGACGCAGAAACCCTAAGGTTTATACAGTGGAAGAGCCCTAAACCAGCTGTTGGGAGAAACCTGAATAACTCACTAGAAAGCGCTATAAAGTTTTAGGCTATGAACTTGTACTGCATGACCTAGGGCCACGTGGAGGTTTCTGAGTGCCATAGTTACTTTGGAATCTACTCAGACATTTTCATAAATATTTATAGAGCACTTTTGCTGGCATTGCAGCAGGACTTGGTAGTGCAAGCCTGTAATCCCAGCACGTGGGAGATTGAGGCAGGAGGATTGTTGCAAGTTCAAGACCAGCCTGGAGAAGTGAGCCCAAGGCTAGCCTCACCTGCTTAGTGAGATCCTGTCTCAAAAAGGCAAAAAAAAAAAAAAGGTGGGGGGAGGGCAGATAGTTCAGCGGATTAAAGCACCTGCTTAGGCAGACCCAGGGCCAGGGTTCAATCCCAGCGTACTGTGCTGGCCCTACGCCTAGGGCATGCTGAGACAACGATTGAGACTGAACGTGGTGGCACATGCCTGTAATCCCAGGGCCTGGGAGACTGAAAACAGGAGGATCGCTAGGAGTACAAATGGCCCGCTCTGTGTAGTGAGACCCTGTAGACCCTGTACTAAATGTATTTTTAAAAAACAAAAGTAAATGCATATTAACACCATCTTAACCAAAATGTCTTCATCTCCAGTCTTCTTTATTGAACTCTTAAGATACTTCACTTGTACACATGTATGTGAAACTGAATCTCTGGACTTGATTCCCCTGTAGTAGATGTGAGGGCAAAGGACATTATCCACTTTATTTCATAATGATGAATTCATCCAAAAAATATACCAATCCTAGATAAAGCACCTAACAAAATTTTACAATACACAAAACAAAAACTAATAGAACTGCAAGGAGAAATAGATGTCATAATTATAGTTGAAGGTTGATAGAGTTGGAGCATATTCTTTTCTCAGTAAATGGTACGTGGGCTGGGGGATAGCTTGGAAGCCTTAAGTGCCTCCGTGGCAAGCGTAAGGACCCAGCTTTGATCCCCAGTACCACATGTCATGCTGGCCACCAAAATCAGGTGTGGTGGCACACGTGTAATCCCAGTACTGGCAGGCTGAGACAGAATCATATGAGTCCAAGCTGCATAGCGAGACCTTGTAACAAATAAAATATTTTTTAAAAATTTTAATTAAAAAAAATGATATGATAGAGCCAGGTATAGTGTTGCACTTGGAAGGTTGAGACAAGAAGATCACCAAGTGTGGGAGGCCAGACTGGCTACATAATGAATTCAAGGCCATCCTGAACTATACAGGGAGACACTGACTCTGAAAACAAATAAATGATATGAAGGGACCTAGAAAGTCACTGAGTAGACCCAAACATTGTCAGCCAACTTGAACTAATAAACGGTTGTAGAACAGTTCTACAATGACAGTGGAATACACATTTGAATCCAGAGCATAAAGAACATTTACTAGGCTAGGTCACAGTTGGTGCTATCAAGTATATTCCCTGACCACAATAAATTAAATTAGAATTTAATAACAGAAAGCCTTTGAATACTTGGGAATTGAGAGCGCACATATAAATTCCCTGTGGTTCAATGATGACATTAAAAGGGAAAATAGTATTTGGAACTGGATGAAAATTAAAATATGACATTTCAAAATTGCGAGATGCTATTAACTCATTACTAGAAGTAGGTCTCATATCAGTGATGAGTGGTTGGTGGCTGTTTTTTTTTCCCTGTACCGCGGATTGAACTCAGGACCTAGCACTTGCCAGCCAAGCACTTATTCTATTGAGCTATCTCCCTGGCCCAGTGATGAATGTTCTAATGAAGGTAATGAAGTTCAAAGTAAGTGTAAGAAAGGGTGTGATTTAAAAAAAAAAAAAAAAAAAGGTGTGATAAAAGTGCAATTCAGTGAAGTAGAAAAGAAAAAAAAACCAGTGAAACAGCTAATTCCTTGTGATGAATAACACTGAAAAGTCTGGTCACATTGAGTAGAAATACAAAAGACAGGGGCTGGAGAGATGGCTCAGTGGTCTAGAGCACCTACTTAGAACAAGCTTAGCAAAGCATCAGGGACCACGGTTCGATCCCCCAGCACCACATGCCAGCCAGCCCCGCCCCCTGGTGGGCTGAGCTGGCCACACACACACACCACACACTCTCTCTCTCTCTCTCTCTCTCTCTCATAAATAACTAAATAAAAAAAAAAAAAAAAAGAAATACAAAAGACAAAAATTACCTACTGGGGATGAGATTTGACACTACTGAGAAGATAGAATGTTTTAGTGACATTCTGTCAATAAATTCAACAACTTAGGCTAAATGAACTGATTCGTTGAAAGCATAAACTACTTCAGCTTACTCAAGCTCATTCAAAAAGAAATAGTAACCTGAAAAATCTCTCTACCTACTAAGCATTAAATTAATAGTTACAACTCTTTACTTGAACACTCCAGACTTCAGATTCTCCCCTGGAAATACCACCAAATATTTAAAAAACAATGTCAGTCCTACATAAACTTTTTTCTCTCTTTTTTGTTTTTTTGGTGGCACTGGGGATTGAACTCAAGACCTTGTGCTTGCCAGGCAGGTACTTATACCACTGAGCCAACTCCCTGGCCCCTAGTCCTACATAAACTTTTACAGAAAATTGAAGGAAGGAAATACTTTCCCTCCTCACTCCCAATAGCATTATTTTGATATTGTAACAGGATTAAATTGTAAGAAAACTACACACTGTCATTTTCATGAACATAGATAACAAATTTTCTTCTAAAATATTTTTTAGGGCCAGGGAGTTAGCTCAGTAGAATAAGTGCTTGCCTGGCAAGCGCAAGTTCAATCCCCGGTTCCGCAAAATAAAATAAAATATTTTTTAGCTAGTAGAATCCAACGCCATAGGTTGAGCATCCCTAATCCAAATATACATGAGTCAGCAAGGTGGTTCAAGCAGACCGGGGCACCTGCTTAGACAAGCTTAGGCAGGGGCAGATACTGCAGCTCAATCCCCAGCACGTGCTGGGCTCACGCCCAGGGCAGGCTGAGCCAGCCACAGAGTCTGGAAGTAGTGGCATATGCCTGGTCCCAGCACTGGGGAGGCTAAGAGCAGGAGGATCACTGTGAGTACAAGCTGTGTGGTGAGATCCTGTAATGACTAAATACATTTTAAAATATATATATAAATAATATATAACATTGGCTGGCGAGATGGCTCAGTGGTCTAAAGCACCTACTTGGAACAAGCTTGGGAAAGCATAGGGACCGCGGTTCGATCCCCCAGCACCACATGCCAGCCAGACCTGCCCCCTGGTGGGTTGAGCTGGCACACACACACACACACACACACGCACACACACACAATAAATAAATAAATGTTTAAAATTAATTAAAAAAATAAATTAAAAAAAATAAAAACTTTTTTTTAAAAAAAATAATAATATATAACATATATGATATCATATACACACACACAAAATGCTCCAAAGTCTTAAACTTTGAGTTTCAACTGCTTAACTGATAAAATATATGCAAATATTCCAAAATCTGAAATACTCAAATCTGAAGCAGTTCTGGTTCCAAACATTCTAGATGTTAAAAATGTTCAGTTTGTGCATAAAAAGTGTAATAACCAATTGGGATTTGTCCCAGGAATGCAAAGTTGGCTTTGTATTTGAAAAATTACCAGTGCAGTTCACCATTAAGAGTGAAAAAGATGTGGTGATGCACATCTGTAATCCTGACACTCAGGAGGCTGAGGCAGGAGAATCACTAAAAGTTTGAGGCCAGCCTAGGCTACAAAGTGAGATTCCTTGTCAAAAGGACCAAAAAATAAAATGGATCCTCAAGACATTTTAAAAGACATTTGCTAAAATCCAGCATATCCATTCCTGAGTTCAAAACAGCCAAGTAGGAGTGAAACTACACTTCCTCAACACGGTAAGGGTGTCTATGAATAACTTATAGCTGCCCTCATACACAATAAAGAAAGACTGTTTTAACCGTAAGATTAGGAGGAAACCAAGGCTGTCTGCTGTGACCAGCTCTACTCAGTATTGCATTGGAAATTGTAGCCAGTGTAATAAGGTGGGTTGGAAGTAACTTTAGGGTTCTTTTGTTTGTTTGTTTTGGTACCAGGGATTGAACTCAGGACCCTGCACTGAGCCATCTCCCCGTCCCAGTAACTTTAGTT